CTGGAGTATTGTGTCCAGTTCTGGGCACCGCATTTCAAGAAAGATGTGGAGAAATTGGAAAGGGTCCAGAGAAGAGCAACAAGAATGATTAAAGGTCTTGAGAACATGACCTATGAAGGAAGGCTGAAAGAATTGGGTTTGTTTATTTTGGAAAAGAGAAGACTGAGAGGGGACATGATAGCAGTTTTCAGGTATCTAAAAGGGTGTCATAAGGAGGAGGGAGAAAACGTGTTCACCTTAGCCTCTAAGGATAGAACAAGAAGCAATGGGCTTAAACTGCAGCAAGGGAGGTTTAGGTTGGACATTAGGAAAAAGTTCCTAACTGTCAGGGTGGTTAAACACTGGAATAAACTGCCTAGGGAGGTTGTGAAATCTCCATCTCTGGAGATATTTAAGAGTAGGTTAGATAAATGTCTATCCGGGATGGTCTAGACAGTATTTGGTCCTGCCATGAGGGCAGGGGACTGGACTCGATGACCTCTCGAGGTCCCTTCCAGTCCTAGAATCTATGAATCTATGAATCTACCTTGGTCCTCACTTATATTGTTGCAAAAACAAATTTTCAAAGATAGTTTGTTTCAGATGTGTGCTTTGAGATGTTGTGATAATCCTTCTAATCCACTGTATTTTATTAGATACACTTACACAGCAGGAATTGAAAAGCTCTTTCTCCATGCAAGCAAAAATGCCTCCTTGTGACTTTTCACCTGAAGAATATGAGGTAAGTCATGCACAGGGCACTGTACTTGGGTCTAGACTAGATCTCATTGCTAAGATCACCATTCTGCTGTATGCCGTAATTGTTCTGTTCACTAGCTTATTACGAATTTTCTTCAGTGGCATCAGAAGTTTAGATCATGGCTTTTATCCTTCTCTGAGATCCTTTGGAGATCAGAGTTAAACAGGGCCTCTGTGGTGCTGATTAGAATACAGTAGAAGAACAATCTTAACCCAAGGAAAGGTAGCAATGAAACATTTTTCTATTATTTGTTTCCCTCTCACTGATTTTTAATACCTAATTTGAGGAGTTCTATAAAATGTTTTACCCCCTCCACCAAAATGTATGCCAAGTTAGTTTTTTGGGGGAGTGCAATAGGGGTAGAGGGGGAAGGGGAAATGTTTGATTTTTAAGGAACTACTCTTATTTGCTGTCTAATGCCCCATGGCCTGTGTCCAGCAAGGAACTAATAAGTATCCGATCGGTTAAAAAGGTGTATTTTCAAGCAACAGTCACATGAAAGATAAATGTATGACTTCGATATCATGAATTAAACACTGTTGAGTAGGTGTTCTGTTACTGTGCCAATTTACGGTTACAGAAATGTGTTTACATTTTCATCTGATGGTGACAAGATTTATGATGGTCCAGTTATCTTCTGTGATTCTGTGGTTGTGGATCAGTTGCCAAGATAGCTCTGTATCCTGTTGTCACCCTGCCTCATTGGATCACAACTGAGAGTACCAAATTCAGGACAAGCTGCTGAGAAATAGGGCAGAAACACCAAAAGCTGGTGGTTATTCTCCCATAAGATATACCAGACCAGAAACAAAAGTAAACTTCTGTTTCACCACATTGGCTAACAAGAAGTCAGAAAAGCAGTCTCCTTAGGTAGTCTAGTCCTGGTTTTAACACCCGACACTAGACTTAATGATGAGTGGTTATTTAAAACCAATTTCATCACACAAAGTTATTCTGATCCCAAAGGACCAGCCACATACCAAGTCAATATATAACTCAGAATCTTACTCAATAATTACACTGTTGCCAATCCTTTAGCATCTAAAGGCTTATTTATAAAAACAAAGAAAGGTGAGAGTTAAAATTGGTTAAAGGAATCAAATACATACATTCATTGCAAAGTTCTTGGATCAGGCTTATCGCAGTGATGGAATAAACTGCTGGCTTAAGTCAAGTTTCTGGTTGCTTCCAAATGATTTGGAAGGTCCTCAATTCCTTGGTTAGAATGCTCCCATTAGTAAAAGTTCATAGTCCAGAGGTTAGAGCAGGTAAGAAGCAACATGGAGATGTTTCCAGGGCCATTTATAATTTCTACCATGTGGAAAGAAACCTATTGTTCTCGTTTGAGGAAAATTACAGGTAACAAGATGGAGTTTGGGGTCACATGAGCAAGTCACATGCCCATGTTAAATCTGCTTAATTTGTAATAGGTTGTGGATTTCATAATCTTTAAGTAAGAGATCAGTGCAATATAGCACTCTCGTTTAAATTATGAGATTTCAGAGGTTTATATAGCCTAATTGTAGGTTAGTATTTATTTTAAAATTGTAGTTATTTAGTTAACTTGGATTCCAATGTGAACAAATTATGTTGTGTTGATATGATGAATCTGTAGATACCTTTAGTAATGGGGGCAGAAATGATTTCTTCCCTCCTACAGTCCTATTCCTATGAGCGTATGCTGAAGATCCGCAAACAGAATCTGTCTCCATCACTGAAAATGTACTACAAGAAACCACTGCTGCTACATCAGGGACATATGCAGTGGCTGTTTGATTATGAGGGACGAAGGTACCTTGATCTCTTTGCTGGAATTGTTACTGTCAGTGTTGGTCACTGTCACCCGTAAGTATGTTATTGTATGAGTTACACTGACTAATATAGAAATATACTTTTGCTTTTTTGTTTGTGGCCCCATATATCCCAAGGCAGAATATGGCACGCTGTGTTTTGGTGTATCTGGGATCAGATTCTTAGATTCAAACCAGCTGCAGTGATCTTTTGGCAAATTAGCTCATTCCTCTCTTTCATTCATTTGTTCATCCGGTAGTCAGGAAAATGCCAGAATTTTAAGAATTAATAGCAGAGTCAGAAAAAAATTGTATGTATGTTGGATTAAATTAGTCAGTCTTTCTTACTGCACACAGGACGGTAACTGCAGCTGCCCAAAAACAGCTTGGTCGTCTGTGGCATACAACCAACGTCTACATGCATCCATCAATCCAGGAATATGTGGAAAAACTAACAGCACTTCTCCCTGATCCACTTAAGGTACCTAAATCCCAGCAGGATGGATGCCTGTTAATTAAAATAATTTTATTTCAATAGATAATGGAGAGTGCTACGATATTTGGAGACAAAGTATTGTGATATCAAACTCATATCCTTATTTAAAAACCCCAAAGGGAGTACAAAGCTTCAGGTAAAGAGAAAAAAATTACAGTTCTCAGGACAATGCTGATCTTTACAGTGAGCTCAGAGCCACACATGAATAAAACCCTAAACTGTTGCCCTACTGCTTGGATCCCTACTGTCTGAGTCACTTTCTCTTCAAATTTCCTCTTAAAGGGGCACTGTCAATTTAAAAATCACTCATAAGTTGAAAAATGTTTTGCATGCTATTGTTACAATTAGCACTTAAGTTTTACTTGGAAAGGAGACTTTGGGAGAGAAAACATTTTTTAATCCAGTTTGTTTATGTAGTATATATAAACTGATTGTAAAACACAAGATAGCTGGGGGACTCAGTAGCAGTAGTCCCTGGCAGATGATACCAAACTGGGAGGGATTGCAACTGCTTTGGAGGATAGGGTCATATTTCAAAATGATCTCGACAAATTGGAGAAATGGTCTGAGGTAAACAGGATGAAGTTTAACAAAGACAAATGCAAAGTGCTCCACTTAAGAAGGAACAATCAGTTTCACACATACAGAATGGGAAGAGACTGTCTAGGAGTACGGCAGAAAGGGATCTAGGGGTTATAGTGGACCACAAGCTAAATATGAGTCAACAGTGTGATGCTGTTGCAAAAAAAGCAAACATGATTCTGGGATGTATTAACAGGTGTGTTGTGAGCAAGACACGAGAAGCCATTCTTCCGCTCTACTCTGCGCTGGTTAGGCCTCAACTGGAGTATTGTGTCCAGTTCTGGGCACCGCATTTCAAGAAAGATGTGGAGAAATTGGAAAGGGTCCAGAGAAGAGCAACAAGAATGATTAAAGGTCTTGAGAACATGACCTATGAAGGAAGGCTGAAAGAATTGGGTTTGTTTATTTTGGAAAAGAGAAGACTGAGAGGGGACATGATAGCAGTTTTCAGGTATCTAAAAGGGTGTCATAAGGAGGAGGGAGAAAAC